ATCTTCAAATAACCCACCCCAAAATTTAAAATTGCAAAAAATCCCTGAAAATCCTCCAAGTTTCTGGCGGGTTGCATTTTCCCTAGGGAAGCCAGATTTGCTGGTGACTGTACTACAGCGAGCAGCGCGCGCGGCTCGCGAGCGTGGGGGATACGCAGCGGAGCATAGAGAGATGCTGTGAACAAGAGAGAAGAAAACGAAGAGGGAGAGAATGAGATCGAGTGAGAGACCCCCCACTTGCTGTTTGCGAGTGGCGGCGCGTGTCAACCTTGCCTTGTCCTTGAAACCACGCGACCGCGACCGTACAACGAGCCAAGTCGATGCGGCGAACTAGTAGACGCTCGCACGGTTCTAGGAATCAGCTGATTGCCCGACAAAAGGGGAATTCTTAAAGACTCCGCGCTTCCGATCGGATTTTCATCGTTTGCCGCGTGAATGGACTCCGGTTAATTTACATTGTGACGAATTCATCAGCGTGATTTACGCAGGGACTTTTTTCTATGCTACTCGCAGGAAAATCCTTAGTCGCTTGGAATCTTTACGGTGATTTGTGACAATGATATTATAATTACTTTCGGATGAGTAACTCGTGAGGTCATACTCATTTTTTGAATTAGTGTAATCGACCGTTTTCTCATTCGTTGTTGGTCTTTGGTTTTTTTGAGATAACCAGGTGAATTAGTGGAACTACCTGGATTGATCATTTTTCATTGGAACAGTCAATCTTTTAGTGAAAGCTGTGTTAAACTGGATTTTACTTTACAAGTCACCTGATCTGACTATTTTACATCAGAATAATTACTTTTTTAATGAGATGCTAGCTTCACAATATTTTTATTATTTCCTTCAAGGTACTCGTTTGTAAAAAAAAATTGACTCGACAATATGAAAGGCAAGATCATATATCTCTTTTGAGACTCCAATAATTTAATCAACCGTACTTGAAGGAAGTTTCTCAAGAAGCCATATAGTTTGAGAGTTATGAAGCTTTATACAACAGTCAAGTGTTTACCAATTGAAAAGTGAACTGGAAGGCTAAAACCGTTTCATAAGTTTCTGAAAGTACTATGTGTGTCTTAGTTCTCAGACAAACCTATCGGTTTTGCTCCTAACAATACTTGCTCCTAACTGCTCGTACATCTCAAACCTAACATTCTTTCAAAGTATCACGTTCTGAAGCATATCAATAAATTACATTATCTGTACAGGAAGTCGAAATCCCTCAATTAATTTAGTTGGACATGAACAACGCAATAAAACGTTTCAGTATCGTCCCATAACCTCGCAAATTCCCCTTTCCTCCGCTTCTACAGGTTTTAAATTTATACAAGTGAGCCTCGTCCACCTGTCCAAGCAAGAAATCGCGAAGACTGGTCGAAATCTTGAAATTTGCGTATTAATTGTCGCATTTAAATAATTATCAGCGAGTCCTAACCGAACAGTACAGACTCGCGAGTGTTTATGAATCAGAGAACACGTTGCCTGCCTTTTTGCGCAGCCGACGTGTTTTTCGTTAAGACGAGACGCGAACGGAAGGCATTGTCAATTTTAGAAGCAAAGGCTGCCTCCACGGTCAGAACAAAAGATCTGCTCGCGCGGACAAAAGAGGAGAAAGGATTCCGCTCTGTTCCAGGCAACGGAGGACAGTCTTTTTTCATTTTCTTTCTTTTTGTCACCGCGCGGATAATGGCCGGCGACACGAACAGTCACGCGATTTAATTAAATTACCTACTAAATTATGCGGCCCGATTATCATCCTAATGACCATTAAAGTCAACCCGGGTCGAGGCTAATAAATAAAGAACGTTTCACCGAACGACTCGAACCAACGACTAAAGCGTAATAACGGATTCGCATTTTCATACAGAAAAATGGCGATATTCGAGGAGGACCCTTCGTATAGGAGCATACATATAAGAGGACTTATGGCAGGATCATAATTTAGTAGGATATTGACACTAGGGAAGTCTAACGCGAGTAGGGGGGACTTTTAAGAAATTTAGAATTTTTTTATTTTAACACTGGGGTTATGGAGTTTTGAGATTTTTGAGGGATAGAACTTTGGGATATTGGAAATTTGGAATTTTAGGATTTTGAGGTACTGGGACTTTGTACTATTGGGATGTGGGATATGTGGATTTTGGTAAGTTGGGACTTTAGGATATTGGAAATTTGGAATTTTTGGATTTTGAGACACTGGGACTTTGTACTATTGGGACTGTGGGATATGTGGACTTTGGTAAATTAGGACTTTGGGATATCGGAAGTTTGGAATTTTTGGAGTTTGAGGTACTGGGACTTTATACTATTGGGACTGTGGGATATGTGGACTTTGGTAAATTAGGACTTTGGGATATCGGAAGTTTGGAATTTTTGGAGTTTGAGGTACTGGGACTTTATACTATTGGGACTGTGGGATATGTGGACTTTGGTAAATTAGGACTTTGGGATATCGGAAGTTTGGAATTTTTGGAGTTTGAGGTACTGGGACTTTATACTATTGGGACTGTGGGATATGTGGACTTTGGTAAATTAGGACTTTGGGATATCGGAAGTTTGGAATTTTTGGAGTTTGAGGTACTGGGACTTTATACTATTGGGACTGTGGGATATGTGGACTTTGGTAAATTAGGACTTTGGGATATCGGAAGTTTGGAATTTTTGGAGTTTGAGGTACTGGGACTTTATACTATTGGGACTGTGGGATATGTGGACTTTGGTAAATTAGGACTTTGGGATATTGGAAATTTGGAATTTTCGGATTTTCAGATACTGGGACTTTGTGATATTAGGACTGTAGGATATATGGACTTGGTAAATTAGGACTTTGGGATATCGGAAGTTTGGAATTTTTGGAGTTTGAGGTACTGGGACTTTATACTATTGGGACTGTGGGATATGTGGACTTTGGTAAATTAGGACTTCGGAATATTGGAAGTTTGGAATTTTTGGATTTTCATGTACTGGGACTTTGTGATATTAGGACTGTAGGATATATGAACTTGGTAAATTGGAACTTTTGGGTATTGAAACTTTGAGACATTAGAACTTCAGTATAATGGGGCTTCACTACTTTTGAACTTTTGAAGGATGTTGAACTGTTGGGTTCTCATAATACTGGTATTTTAATATTTTCAGATTATTATATACTGGAATTTCTAAATGTTAAGACTTATAACATTAAAACTTCGACATATAGGATTTTCATAATTTTAGCACTTTGTCATACCACAACTTCATATTGCTCAAAATTTCAAACTTCGAAACTGCTGAATGTTAGGATTTCAAACTTTGAGACTTTGAATACCTTCAGAAATTTTTGAGCACGTTTACCATTTGCACTTTGAAACTTCAGAACATTGGAATGCTTACGTTACGACTTAGACTGTGGAATTTATTTGTGGCCTTAAAAAGTAATGCAAATAAATCGCGAAGAATTAGCATATTGAAAGCGTGTAGCTCATAAAAGTTAGTCTACAAGTAGTACCGGTCTAAAATGGTTTGGAAGATCGTACGTGAGAGGTTAGTCGAGAATCCGATCAGACCTCGTGGTTATATCTCGTGAGACCTGTTTGTCTGAAGATTTTACGTAACGAAAGATAACCGGCTCGACGCCGCGCAGATAACTAGGAGTTCTAGCTCCTGTGCGCGGCTCTTATGCAATTCACGAGACGGCATAAAATCAGAATTTTTCATAGCCGTCTGTGGAAACCCGTGGTTACGGGGTCAGATGGCAACCGGGGAGGTCGTTGTATCGCAATCTAGGTCGGAAAAATGGAAATCGTGCGATTTCTGTGCGAAGAAAAGGTGAACTACAACTCTACTCGCTATTTACTTTGACCCGTGGCCTGAGTTCACGATCAAACACGATAAGGTGTTGCGGCTGCGTCGCAATATTACGCCGCGAAAGAGCGTTATGATAATACGAGCAGTAAAAGACACACTGTCTCGACCATCAGGAAACAAATCTTCAACGGATGTTTGACAGATTTCTGAAATTTCAACGTCGGACGCGGCAGAGTCTGAAGAACGATCGTGGAGGTGGCAATAAATTTAGCTTCTTGGAAGTGTTGTGCTTTCACCGGTAGATTACACATATTTTTAGCCAGTCCGACGCTCGCTTTCAAGAATTTTCCTCGAGCCGGAAGCGAACCGAAGGACTTGGACTGTTCGCTGGAAAATTACTCATAAACGATTGCTACAGAAAGGCGGAGGTGATAATCGGTTATCGCGACAAGGGAACAAGTCTCGAGATTAGATTCTCGCGTTGCTTGATAATCTTTAATCCATCCTCGTTCATTTCATTCGAGCCGAAAAATTATCACGTACACCATGTGAATCGGTCGCGAGGCGCCCTCTGTTATCGCGCGAGAAGGAAAAGGGCGAGAAATCGGTGGATTTAAGGGTCTTATGGTGTTCGAGCGGTGGACAGCAGAGGGCAGCAGAATCTTGGGCACGCTGGCTTTCGGCGTGACTCAGAGTGGGGGTGGATTTTGGGCCCCTTTGGGCGCCGGGGCCTGGAAAGGGGTCTCGCGACCGGTTTCACTTGGGGGAACCTGCGATTTCCGCCTTTAGGTGGCAGCACCTCGGCGGAGAAGACTCTGTACCTTCGCTTAGTTCGGATTCTGAGCTGCAGCAGCGTGGATGTGGCTTCTGAATTGTCTGAACTTATTTCTTAAAATGTATGAAAGTTATGTTTATGAATGAGCTGCAATTTTAAAGCGAAAGGAGGAAAAATGTGGATATATTCCACGGTTAGATTACTTAGGTAATTACTCGAGCAATTACCTAAATATATTCTAAGATAACAAGACTAATAATTTTAAAAAAATAGCGTAAACTAGAATAATAGTAGAATCATGACAATGAACGTAGTCCACATGTCATGTTTGAAATATTTTTTAAGACACGATTGAAAGAGTTATTAATCGATGAATTTATGTATGTGAGAGGATAGTTACTAGGATTAGGCAAGAGAAAGTCGAATAATGAGACCATAGTTAAGTTTTCACAAAGAGATCAATATTTATTTGATGCTCTTGCAGTGATAAGCGTCGATCTTTTCTATTCTCACAATAGAGAGGAATTATAAATTTCATTTCTCTGCACTCATATAAATATAAATTAAGACGATCATAACGCACGCAGTACCCACGCATACACTCACACGCACACACACTCTTTCGCGTCTGGGCTTAACTAAACTACAAACTAGGCGTTTCGCGTTAGTTACAAGGGTTCCTCGTACTTACAACACGTTACACCACACACGCTTGGCGTTTTACGTACAAGAAACAGAATGGAAGACCTCGGTGATTCTTGTTGCGTAAGGCACTTAAAATACGATATCCGTCTAACAATATGTACAAACGAAGGGGCGAAAGAAAGGAGCGAAAATGAATGCGAAAAACAGGGACGAAGTAAAGGGATGAAACGCGCGAACGAAATGAAACGATAAAGGCGTAACGAAAAAAAAGGTACACGACGCGAAGGATCCTTACATTCTTCCTGCTGTTACGACGAACTCGATTCAACGATCATAGAATTATTATTTACAAGGCACTGTATAAGGCACTGCCTCATAGGCTACTGGCCGACTGCACACACTCGGGAATTACTGAACTCACGGCTCTCGGACAAGATCTCCTAGCTCGCAGGACATCTCCGATCCTAACCGCACTCCTGACTCCTAATGCGATACGTGTAAGGAACAATGATCCGTGTTCCGCGGTATTTCTCGCGGCTCGACGAACGACGAACTGAACCCACGTGTCTTCGTCGTCGTTCGAAGCGTATTTATCACTCGAGACTGTCTTTATCACCCGCGACCAGATGTAGGTCGACTTTTTACCACGGCCTCCATGGTTTGTCCTCGACCTCCGGTACCACGCTCTTCCTCATCACCAGAGCGAGAGGTTTCTGAAGAGGTGGGCTGTAGACGCGGGGGTCGAACTCCGGATCGCTGGTGTACCCGTTAGCCGGGGATGTTGCAACGTCCCTGTGGCTGTTTCCGGTGCTGTACGGAACGGGTTGTTCGCGAAACGCCGCTGGAGCTCCTTCGAAGCCGACAGGACTCTCCGCCGATGTGGACGTCGAGCTGGCCGAGGAGGACGAGGAGGATGCGGACGCCGTACTTGCCGTTCTCTGAGGAATCGGGATCAGAGTCGGCAGAGGCGATGTTGGGGCTGGAGACGATGCCGGGGACGTGGCCGGGGTAGT